GCCATTTTTTATTGATTCTTAAGCTTGGTCATTTAAGTCGGGACTTAACCTCAACGCAGATAAGCCGATCACTTTGAAATGTTAATATTAGATCCTTGATCCAGAGATGGGCGGATCTGAAATACGGCTTAGATGATGCACAAAGRTTYGAGAGAGTCTTTGATAATCACGCAGAGATGCGGGTTTTGCATGTTTTTAGCTTATGTTCAGATATTAGTTGAGTTTATGCTACAATACGTTGTGAGTATAAATCTTCAGGCTAGTGGAACCAGATATCTTTTTATCTAGTAGCTAATTCGGCAAGTTTAAGATTGATTTAACTGGACGCTTTGTGGGCACTCTGTGGGCACAATATATGAGAATTCACTTTCGAGAGATAGGAGTTCTTATAGAAATCCCATGAGTTTCTGACCAAATTGTTCCTGCAATATTCTTAAGCAAAGCTTACACCGATACCCATCTTTTAATATTAAAGGTTTATTTCGTATTTTAACGCTTTGCACCAATCAAAACTCAGCTATTTTTTCAACCCGAGGCATTGTTCAAGAAATTCATGAAAGTCTCTGATTCTCAGTAAGTCTGGTCCCTGTGGAAACGATCTTGGTACTATACCACTCTATTACTTGAAGCGATCTTAGTATCGGCGTGCACTTGCACCACCACTTTGGGGATTGTATGCCCACTGTGTGCACACTTACGATTTTAGCACACCATCTATACACATTCGCATAGACCCATCTTTCTTTTTGACAAATAAGACCGGAGCACCCCAAGGTGAAGTGCTGGGTCTAATGAATCCTTTATCTGTCAAATCTTTTAATTGTGAAACCAATTCCTTTAATTCAGATGGAACTAACCGGTATGGTGCCTTTGCTACTGGTGCATCCCCTGGTACGAGATCAATTCGAAATTCGATCACTCGATCCGGCGGTAATCCAGATAAATCCTCTCGAAAGACTTCCGAATATTTATTAGCAATCAAAATCGATTCCTCTTTTTCTTTCTCTTTCTTCATATCAATTACATATGCTAAACATCCCTGACACTTCTTCCGAATACTTTTCTGAGCTTTCATCACAGTCAAAATACTAGTATGGTGATTCTGACGATCACCATAAATAACAATTGTTCCTTGGTTTGGCAGAGTAATTCTGATCATTTTCTGATTGTAAACAATACTAGCCTGATACTTTGCCAACCAATCCATACCCACCACTATATCAAATTCCTTCATCGGCATAGGGAATAACCGAATCGGTAGTTCACAACCCTCAATAACAATAATACATAATTCAAGCATGTAGTTTGAGCAAACGATGGTGATACAAAGGAAAAGTTTGCACCAGAGTCAAATTACTTTCATGGGTCATAATATGTTTGCACTGGTTTGGGGTATATTGTATGTACCATGCCACTAAGGAATCTGAATCTTTGATAATTTTGTCATAGAAGCAAGCCCAAAGAAATCAGATATGCAATAAGTACCACACCAATCATTATCATACTTGTTATTGTCATACCAGGTGTTACCATATCTTGTATTGTCATTCTAGTTGTTTCCATACCAGCCGTTTTCATTCTTTCCATTACTATACCACCTTTTGGCTTTCTTCTTGTTAACAAAGTCATTTGTTCTACAAGTTGAACAACAAATCCTTTTCTTGCTAAGACTGATTAGCTGGTTATTAGACTCAACAATACAGGGTAAAACAGTCTTATAAACAAATGAATTTTCATTACACACAAAATATTGAGAAGACTTACCATCAATATCTTCTACATCATATTTCTTCAGCCAAATCTTTTTCATTCTTTTAAAATGATTATCTAAATCAATGACATAACCTTTGTAAAACGAATTTGAAATATGAGATTTATTCATTGAAACACTTGATTTAGAACTGCTTGAACACTTGAATTGTCATTCATACATTTTACACTTAGAAGGAGAATCAGATGAGCTTGAAGTACTTATTTCAGAAAAACTCTTTAAGTTTCTTTAACAACTGATCTCTTTCTTCAGTAAATAAATTATATTTCTTTTTAAAATCAGATCTCATGTTCTTTTTCAGTTACAAGATCAGTTTTCAATTCAAATAATTTATTTGAAGTTTCAGCAATTTTACTTTCCAAAATTTTTCTTTCTTTTTCAAAAACATTTCTTTCTTTTTCAAAAACATTTCTTTCCTTTTCAAAATCTCCTTTCTCATTCTCTAAAGCAACATCTAACCACTTCTTCTTTTCAGCTAACGCTTTAACTAAAATTGTATTCTTCTTTGCTGCATTCTTTCTTTCAATAGCAAAAGATTTTCTCTCATCATCCAGACTCTTCTGAATAGCAGCAACACTCTTTGAAAGTTCCAAACATTTCTTATCAGATGTTTTCTTCTCGTTTTCAAATTTAGATCTTTCCACAGTAACTATCTTTTCAAAATCAATTATTTGCTTTGAAAGCTTCATAAAACTCATTTCAAAAGATTTCAACTTGTTCTAAAAAATCATTTTCTCAGCATTAAACTTCTATTCTGTATCAGAAAAATTTATTCTTCTCTTTCTCAAACTCTTTTCTTTCAGATTCTAACAACTTTTCCAGTTCAACTATCCTCTTCTTTTCTTTCTCAAAAATTCTTCTTTCAGAATTCAAAGTTTTCTCAGCTTCATAAACCCTTGAACTTAATTCAGAGTTATTTTTTAACAGCTCAATATTTCTTATCTGATAATCTGAAGAAAAACTTTTAGAAAAAAGTTCATCAACTCATTCTTGTAAAAACTTCTTTTCTTCTCTTACTTGCTCATTGTCCTTTACCATATCTTTGGCCCAACAAAGATATGAATGATTCTCATAAAACATTTTTGCATACTTTTCTTCCCTTTTAAATTTCTTTTCCAAATCTGAAACTTTCTCTTTAAGTTCCTTGTTCTCTCTTTCTAACATGAATGTCATTTCAAACAATTCAAATGATTGAATAACACTAGATCTTTTAAAACAATTCAAAACTTAGAAAATCATATTTTCAACACTTATCCCCCAACTAGTCTTTTTATCGGACAACACTGCTTATCAGACAATATTGCTTATCGGACAACACTTTATCTTCCAACTCTCACTTATCGTCCAACTCCTTATCTTTCAACCTTGCTTATCTCCCAACTCCTTTTATCGGACAACACACTCTTATCGCCCAAAGGTTATTGGACACATAAAACTTATTGCTCAAGTCTAGAACGATGAAGGTACTTCACCTGGTAACACACTAACTGATGAAAAGATGTTCATTGGACAAGTAAGAAATATTCAAAGAAAATTCAACAATCAATGAAGAGTCCTCATCGCTCAATGAATATATTCAACGAGCGATGAAGGAAGCATATAGCAGAATACACAGAAATCGATCCAAATACACCAGAATCAATCAAATTTGAATAAAATTTGCCCAGATTAGTTCGAAAACTTTTCACAACATGTTTTAAACACCAATTTCATCCAAAAACAGATTAAATTGATCAAGAACACCAAGAATAATTTCAAGACTCTATGAATTACAAAAATCCAAAATTGAAAACACTAAATCAAATCAATTATAAAATTGATTGATTCCAACACACTCAAATATGAATTTCGAACATAATTCAATCAAATTTACTCACAAATTCAAACAAATTAATGAATTTGGAATCAAAAATAGTAGCAAGGTGTTCGTCCAAAAATTGTAAGTCCAGAAACCAAAATTCAATCCAAATTCAAATGCAATCTAATTCTCCAGTTGTTGTTTCTCGCTCTGATACCAATTGATAATCCCATATTTAATCAATCAAACACATGATCATCAAGATTCAAGAATTCAATAATGGCAGATTATAGTAGAAAGAGAGAATTTTTTTTCAAAGGTTTCTTTGTATTGAAATGCTTCAAAGATTACAAAAAGTACAGTTACAACGCTACTAGATTTGTTACAAGATTACAAAGATACTAACCTATTTATACAATGGAAAGTATAAGGGAATAAAAAGCTTGAATACAACATTTTAGCACAAAACATTGAATCCAACAAGAGTAAAACTTGCTAAATATTGAACTTTGATTAAGCTTAATCAGACTTTCCATCCGAAATCTAAGTCTGCTAATCCAGATCTCTGAAGTCTTCCATGCACTTTATATTGAACTTTGGACTTACCCGAACTCTGGACTTTCACTTCCAGACTTACACTTAGAAAATTTTCTCAGCTTCCGAACTCTGGGCCTTCTTCTCTATATCTCTGGACCTTCTATCCAACGATCAACACTTAGACTTTTATCAACATTAAACCAACTATCAAAACTTTTCAAAATGCATACGTGAGCACATATAAATAATCTGTGTACATATGCATTTTCAAATAGATGTTTTTTCAATAATTCACTTATGAATTTTCCTTTACATTCCATTCCATTCTTACTTTCTCATAATATTTAGTTTTCTTATATCTCACTTGATACATGGTAAAAAGGTATTAAACAACAAGTAGGGGTGAATCTCGTCATTTCAATAACAATCTTACCGAACACTATACATATAGCTAAATAATTCTAATCCAATTCATTTTTGTTTTGCTCATGTAACAAAAGCAACATGTGAACATAGAGAGTGAAAGAACCATGAATGGTCATTAAAGATTGTTTAGCAAAAGTTTATCGAATAAGTGTTTACTGGACTTCCCCTATCTTATCAAGTGAACACGATAAAGACCGAGAAGTGTACCTGGTAAATGAGTGAGGAAACTATTACACGATTAGCATTTGTAAAATGAAAGACGCTTACCAACAATTTATTTTGATGTCTAAAAATGTTACCCAATAAAATAAGTGATAAAGATAACTCTAACTAGTCGATAAACAACCCAAGAGGTGCATTTCTAGAACCCTTGTATGCATTACATGTTTGTACCATGAGATACATCGTACGGGATCTACTGGGCCAGTCGGCCGCACGCCTCTCTTTGTGAATTCATTACGTGTCGACGAAGTGATACTTTCCGTTGCACCCCGGCTCACTTTAGCACCCTTCACCCTATTCTTCAACAACTTCATCGTCTTCCTCATTTCCCTTCATTGTTCCCTTCGCCTCTCATCCGCCAGGCTCACTTTAGCTCATTTCTCTTATTACAGTTGCAGAAAGAAACCCTCACAGCAGAATGAGTTGTGGAATTAAGGCATTTACGATTAGTAACCCTAACCCTAGTGAGCTATGCACAAAGAGAGCTCCGATGGAGGCGGTCTGTTCTTCTCCTTCCTTGTCTCGGTTCCGGCCTCTTCTCCAACCTCGTAGCTCCGGTGTACTCACACTCGCGGTTTCTGTTTCTGGTTATCCGAGAGGACTTGGCAATGGTTTACTGCACTCCCGTTCAAATTCCCGGAACCGGTCGATTTTCTCGTTTGCGGCGTCTCATGAGGACTCGGTGAGTCGAACTTTGATTACTATACTGTTAATATCCCACCATTGGGGGAAATTACTTATTTACCTTCAAGATTGGTTTGAAAACAACACTAACATCATAGCAAGCAGCACCGATGGTTTAATGTGGGTTTTAATTTTGTAACAAGACTGATATCGTACATTTTCAGTGTAGCATGCCTGACATTAAAATGAGGTTTAGCTCTTTTTCAAGATCAATAATGAAGTTGGAAACCAACAGTAACTGCGTAGCAAGCAGTACCGATGCTTTAATGTTGGTTTAATTTTTGTAACAAGATTCATAATCTACATTTAGAATGTAGTATGCCTGACATTATCTTGAAGTTTAGCTCTTTTCTGAAGCTGAGGGATCATGCTCCTTTGGTTTTACCTCTTTGGATGCTTGGATTATCTGACGTGCACCCATTTCACGTGCTAGGCGTAGCTGGTGTATTCGGCGGCTGTCTTTTCTGAATGATAAAAAAAAATTCGGGTCAAAAGATTGAGAACAAATTAAATAGTTGTTTGTTTGAAATGATTTCATAGTTGGAAATAAAAAGTCCAGCAATTTCTATTTAGATTGAAAGATGGAGAAGTTGGAAAAAATGTAGTACATGGGATTTAGATGCTAAATGCAGGGACTTATATTAAAATAAATAGAATGAGCAAGTCATTGCCCATTTAAGACTTGGTTCTTGTACTTGTGGTTGACAACCTAGCATCTTAGATGCTTAAGTAATAAAGTTGCATGAAGTGGTAAGCTAGCGCACTTCCTGCCGTTTTAAAGTTTGGAATTTGTTTTGATCAGTGTGTTATCAATCAAATTGCATTGGTTCCTGCTGCTAGATGCAAATGAGATTGAAAATTCTGAAGTTAAGGTAGAATCATTAAGAGATGAGAGAATCCCTTGTGGAGCTTATCTGATTGTCTAGCTCAGTCTCTGGTCTAGCTATTCTTTTAATGTCTGTATGAATGATTGCCTTCTGCAAGAAAGGGTGTTAAATCCTTCTGATAAGTCAAGTATTAGTGGTCCATTTAATGCTTCTGTAAGATGTCTTGTAAGCCATAAAGCAAGCTCTGTTCAAAGATAGTTGTTGAATACACTGTAAGGAAGTGAAGTTGGGTTAGCAGGGTTTCTGCCTGTTCTTCATAAAACATAAAGGTAATAGTACTTTCTGTTTGCATTTTTAGAAGCCTTCAGATATTGAAATACAGGAGGACGCAAATCGTCTTAAAGAGGGCTCTGAAGAATCTGAAGAAGCCTGGAAGAAAACTTTAGCTTCTTTCAAAGAACAAGCATTGAAAATGCTGAATGTTTCCCAAGAAGCTTACGAAGTGTATTTAGAGAAAGCTACAGTAGTATTGAAGGAAACCTCAGAGCAATTGAAGATCCAAGCTGACAAAGCGAGTGAGGATTTGAGTGTGATTGCCAAGGAACTTAGTGAAGAAGGTAAAGTCTATTTGTCTGCAGCTGCAGAGAAATCCCCTGAACCAGTGAAGGATATTGTGGAAACGTTTGCTTCTTCAACTGATGATTTGAAAGATGTATCGGAAGTGCTTGACTTTTATGTTGGTATCCCATATGGTATGGTTATTCTTTCATACATCACTATATATCCTGCAAACTATTTGACAGTTCCTTAATGTGGTTCTTAAATCTTGATGTGTCTTTGTTATGTTTTCAGGCGCACTGCTTACTTCAGGTGGTTTTCTTTCCTTCATGATTACTGGAAGCATTGCTGCTATCAGATTTGGTGTTATTCTTGGTGGAACTTTGTTGGCCTTGGGTATCTATAGTCTAAGATCATGGAAAAAAGGGGAATCTTCGTCTATTGCTCTGAAAGGCCAGGCAGGTTGGTGTTTTAATCTACCTCCTGATTCTATATCATTAGTGTGTATATGATTTACGTCCAATGATGTATCTACCTCTAGGCCCTAGCACAACAATATATTTGTGATATGAGCTAGTTTAATGGAAACTAGAAATAGTGACCAAGTGGTCAAGGAGGCCATCTTTTTCTAATGGCAATTTGTGTTAGACATTGAGAATATCTCACTTTGGAACAATAAAATGGTAGTTACTGCACTACCTGTTATTTTCCATTCTTAACGGGCAATTCTTCCAAGTCATCTTTCCTTGCTTCTTCTAATTCTTGGACCACTTCTTTGCAATTCTCATTGCCATGTTTGTCCTAGCAAGATACCTACCTATATGATCTTCAGGATTTATATAATGCCTTTGCCATTTGTTGTTTTACCTTTGTCTTCTTTTTAGCAAGATTCATAACAATTTGTGCCTCAGGCAGGAAGTACATCTGAACTGCTTAGAAGCATATACTGCTGCCAAATACATACTGGTTCTAGAAAGCTACTTGCTGGCTTTATGGAGCATGTCTCCACTAACCCAAACCAAATTGACCCAATATATCCCACTTGAAAGTAGGGTGAGGTGGGGGTGGATGTACTTAAACCTGTCCTCTTACCCCAAATAGTAGAGCGTTGTTTCTGTCAATACCCCCAACAGAGCATGTCTCCACTAATAACAACTAATCATGAATTTTGCAATCACAACTTAAGGTACATTTCAATAATTGTACGATGGATTATGTTAGTTCTCGATTTTCAGTTATGTGGCAATTCTGCCTGATGCAAAATGGAACTCCCTCGGCTGATATCAGATATATATAAAAAATCATCTTCTGCATGCTTCTGTGAGTGTTCTAGGTGGTCGTCGAGTGAGAATAACCTATTTAACAAGTGTTTGCTATATTAACAGGAAGCTGACAAGCAATTTTCTCTATGTTTATAGTAATTCTGATTGAGACCCATGTTTGATGTTTCATTTTAATTTATGTAAATTCATACTTAATGAGAATTTCCCATCCCCATCCTTTTAATGATGAATTTTGAACTAGATCCAACCAGTGCTTTTTTAATGTTTGAATTGTATCTGTAACTAAAGATGCAGCCTACATATGTTATATCAATTTCTCTAGTTATAAAGTACTGTCAGTTGTAGCTTATTTGAGTTTGATGAAGAACTGTTGCTTTTGCAGCCATTGCTACAATATTGTTTTTGAGGGATCTACGCCTAGTGTTCACGGTGAGATTCCTATGGTAGTTGTATGAAGATCAATTTATGAATACACACACGTCTGCACGCATGCACATATAGATATGTATAGATATATGTTTGTGTTGTTAAATGTGTGCATATATATATATATATATATATATATATATATAAAGAGTCGGGCTCATACGAGACTGATACGTGTTTAAGAAAATAAGAGAATGAATATGGACCATACATTTCATTAAATAATAACTTAAATAATTAATTCTAAAAATAACTAAATAAGGGCATAATGTAATTTAGTTGTATAAAAGTTATTTAAGGCATTTCTAAAATATTCTACTTTACCACATTTATGATTTTAACATGATTTAATTTTTTATTAAAAAATATTTCTTATTTAATATATTTAAATAAGCGTATTTAATTTTCATTTTAAAGAATTGTTTTTTTATTAAAGCAATATTTAAAAAAGTTACAATTTTCGTCAAAGTCACATGTGATTCACAATTAATTATTTTTATTTTCAAAATGTTTTCCTAATTGTATGTGATTTAAAGCTTGAAAAAAAATGATTCAAAATTAAACATTGAAAAAAAATAATGAAAACAAAATCACATGTAATGTGTAGCAAAACACATTTAAAATGTATAAGATCACATATGATTTAAAATGTAATTCATAACTTACACATATCATATGTAATCTTGTAGGTAACTTGCATTTTTTCCCACTATAATCAATATCACATATGATACATTGACAAAATTTAACATATGATACATTGACAAAATGTAACGATTTTTTTAAAAATAAGTCAATTAATAGCAGATATCACATATGATTTTTGACGAGAATTGTAAATAATTCTTAAATAAATTACTTCAATAAAAATAAATATTTTAAATGAGAAACTAAATCACATTTATTTTAAATGTTGTAAAAATTAAAAAAATTTAATCATGCTTAAATCATGAAAACTATAAAAAGTCATGAATAAATACCTTCATTAAATGTATTAAATAATATTTATAGAAATACATGAATTTTCATACTTAATTTATATACAACAAATGACACAAATTTCTTTTGGACGATCTTTTAGAAAGTTTTATCTAAGGTATTATTCATTCAAATAAATGAGGCCCAGAATTATTCTTTTATTTTCTTAAATATGTACCATTCTCGAATGAACCCCATCCTCTCTCTCTCTCTATATGTATGTATGTATGTATGTATGTATGTATGTATGTATATATGTATTCGTATCTTCATGACACTAACATCTGTCACAATTTTGTCCTCTACAGAGGCCAGCATTCACCAGATATTTTGCAGTTATAATCAGGTTTGAAATATTTCACTCATATTTAACCCTAAAATATTCTGCACAACTATTTTCATGGTTTAGGATCATCTTCTATGCCACATTGCCACTGTTGGCTTCACTTTTATTTATCTTTTTGGAGTGGCTTACTTCCTGAAGGATGAAAAACCTTACATCAATGGACATGCTAACTGTACTTTTGGGAAGGTTAACTTTCCATGAATTTAAAGCCATTTTACATGAGGTGAAATTTTTTACTTTAGTGAACCATACCCTCTAAAAGCGACAAATTGGTTATAGCATTTAAACTGACGACTCCGTATAATGTTGCTATCAATAGTCAAAGGAACCTTAAGTTGTGTATGAGATGTGTTTTAAGGACATTGGTATCAAATCATTTGCTGCTATCTAGATCTACACCATTTCAATGCATTATGCTTTTGACAGGTGTCTTATTGATTAAAGTGATGTAATGTTAGTAGATAAACTTAATATTCAAGATTTTTTTTTTGTATAGAGTAACTTCTTCAATGGTAATGTTTATGGCTTAAATAACTGGTAGGTACTCCCCTTTTTTCGCTGACCAGACTACCCTTTTTCTCCATCTTTTGTAATCCCTCTGTCCCAAGGTAAATGCAAAAAAGAATTTCCAATTTGGGGCAAGGTTTCAATCCAAATTGAACTTTTTGCCTGTTATTACTCTTTACAAAGTATTGGTAACTTTAATGTTGATCCACAAAATTTCTCTATTTTGTTTTTATTGAGGAGCATTTTAAATAGTTGATAAATTTTTTGAGTAGCGAGAATCTTTCCTCAGAGGCCAACGAAGCTCCGTTTAATCTAGGCTCGGTGATAGTTGACTCAAACATTAAGCCATCTCCAACGTCCAGCAGTGCATTCATTTTCGGGTGGAGGGATTAGTATGTCAAATTACTTTGCGTTAGTTGAGAGTTCAATTCACTTAACATTTAACCTAATTCTTAACATAAGTGGGCCAAGAGCTCCTTGATCTATGAACGATGGATTTAAGCGAGCCCTTAAATTAAACCCGGATTTCCTTGCATCATTAGTGGATGATGCTTTCTTGATGTAATGCAATCACAAGAGAGGGTTCCTCTGTTTGCTACCTTTGAAGTTCAATTATCCCAAGACACTTGGATTTGAGGTGCTCAAAAATGATTCTAACATGTTCAACAAGGTTCCAGGAAATTAAGATTTATATTAGGTGGTTCATGGTTGAACTTCTAGCCCATATATATCTTGAAACCTGTAGTGGATTTAAAACCATTTTGATTTTTAATTGTCCCTTGCATATTGGCAGAGAGGCTTTTTGATTTGAACCCATGGTCTTCTGATCACCAATTACTGATCCAAGATTGGTATTAACTTATACATTATCAAAAAGGCTCATTTGTTTTGGGACGAAATTATCATGAAAGCTTATGATTACCATAATAGATTCACCATATCAGAGTAATTAGTTCAATTAGCTTTTTGATTAGAATCATAAAATTGTGAAATCTGGACAATGGTTACTACGGTCCTGTTATGGTTCCAAATTTTGGACAAAACTCTCCTGTTGCTTACTTTTGCTACCTCTGTTCCATATGAGTTGTATTTGAAGTTTTTCCATTTTATTTTACTGATGTGGATTCTTAACCCACCCTCAACTTCCTAACAAGTACTACAATTTGTAAGTGTTGGGTGATAAATAAGTAACTAGATTCGTAAACCAGTTTTGCGTTTGAAATTAATAGGTGCCTACAAAAAATAAGTTCTCTTTTGGTGAAGAAGGGAGGGAGTTTTATATCTACATTTAGCTATTATCTTTTATTTGAATGGTTTTCTAAATTAACATTTCCATGAGGTTTTGATCCTGATTAATTCCTCGTCTAGAATGGTTTAAAACCATCATTTGTACTTGTGATCAGTATTCATGTCAGAATTGTCGTTTATCTTTGTTTTCATGTTTAATGTGCAGTGGTGCGGCGTTGGCATTTTATGCCTATAGAATCACGTACTCTCGTGGACAGTCAACAGGAGGATCTAGCTTGGAGAGTGGAACAGAAAATTAACTCTATGTTGCAAGGTCGGTATTCGATCTGCATCCATTTCCTTTTAACTGCTATAATTTATTTGTTGAAGAATAGATCTGCCAGTTCATGTAGTTGATCATCACATTTGTTGTTTGGTATGTTCTGAAATCTTGATCTAATCTTGATGGGCGCTAAAATCTAATCAGCGACCATAGAGAAGAAACATGAGGTGTATTAATGGTAGCACCGTACATGGACTGTTTCTTATAAAAATTAGTGTAGTGGTCCCAACCGTATAAAATTTCTACATATACATATACACATATGTATATTATATAAAGTTGGTAAGAATGATGAGAACGCTTCTCAAGCCTTGGGATGTCTTTTGGCTCACAATAAACATGAATCTTCGTCCACCTTCACCTATTTTCACATACCTTCAGCCATCTTCACATGCATGAATTTGTTAAATTTCAGCCATGGTGATACAAGTAGGTATGCGAAGGTAAATGAAGGTGGGAATATAGGTGGATATTCCTGGTGTTCTTACAAAAAAGACAGTTCTCACTAGAACCCATCACCATGCATATGTATATATGTATATATATATATATGTATATATATGTAGCAATGAATATGATGTATTTTCTTTTCTTTTTTGGTATTTTTTTAAGGGGAGGGGGGTGTCTGCTCCACACAGAGCCATGCTAACCGCTGATTCATGTTTCAGGTTTGAAGTTTAAATCATGGGAGTAGTCATGTCGTTGTGAGATAGCTTGAATTCATTCAACAATGCAGAATTTCGTGTTTGCTGCTTCAGATTAGGACCTGCCCTGGTACTTGCATGTTAAGAAGTATGATGTTATTAATGTTAAAGGTTTAAGAAAAATAATATGCCAACACACGCCACCGTTGACACTCAGATACTGATCGTTTCTATGAGCTAGACTTGTAATGGTTTCTATATTAGTGTTATCGAGAAATGCTTAAGGTCGTAATAGGTGCTTATATCCCTTCTTCCGGTTGTAATTTGCTACAAACAATCGAGTCCGAGTTAACTATGTCCGGTCTTTGGTTTCTTTATTTGAGTGAAAGGCATGAAATCGGCTTACGAGTGATCAAACATTTTTGAGACACTGTATTTGATGTTTTGTTATTGAACAACCTACAATTTGGTGGCAAAAAACTTTATCAAATGTTTAGAATTTGTTTCGTGGTTTTAACTACGGGGCCGTTTACCAAATGCTTATCCGGGTAAGCGTTTACCAAGTCACATTATCTTACCGGCTGAATATTGTAAGAACCAAGAATCTTACCCGGTAAGAGAGACAAGAAAAAAAAAGATTTGAGTCTTAACCGGTAAGTGAGGGCGACGACTCTTACCATGGTAAGCGCTTACTAGGTAAATTGTTGCATACGATGCCATTTTGGTGGATTAAAGTCTTACTTTGTGACTAAATGGTAGTGTTAAATTTTATCGGTAAATACTTACCGGATAAGTGTCTGATAATTGGTTAGTGGGAAAGATGGTGAACGTTCTTACAAACATCACCCATCACTCCTTGGGACATGTAATTTATCTTTAACACTCCTTGGGACATGTAATTTATCTTTAAAAGGTGGTGGTGCTATACTTTATTCAGATAATTACAGGTGGTGGTGCTATACTTTTTTCCAGATGATGGTGGATGTGCATATTTTGCAGAGTTTTATTTCAAAATAAGTGTTCACAATAAATGATATATAATTTTAGACATAATTAAACAATTTTATGCTTAATGATTGTATATTTGGACTACAAAAGCAAACCAGRTTATAGAGCAAGATTTGATAAGTAATAGTCAATAAATTAGGATTCGTTTATCAACGTATTTTTATTTGCTTCTCCTAATGGTTGGTCAAGTAACAAAAACGTTATATTTTCAGACATGAACCCCTCCTTAGGTGGATTCCTCCTTTGTTCAGCCTATCGTGTATTAGTAGCCGTTTCCCTTAACCAAACCACTGCATATGAGTTGCCAACTCATTCTTTGATAGACACACGGTCAGAGCCACGGGTAACTTAGGTTAATCTAGGCTAGAGGCAGACCTACGTCAAGATAACTTCCCTTGAAAAACTTGATTTTTTTTTCTAGGTATTTCACCTTGAAATACAAAATTGTACTATACTAGGTAGATGTGTCTACCAGTATTCCTTGATCATTTCCTCTAGTTTTAGTATTTTGATTTAATTTCTCTTTTTCTAAGAGGTGGAATAGAATAACATATCTATCTTGTTAAGTTAAAAATATTTATACATTAATTTATTAGTATCTTGTTAAGTTAAATATATTTATACATTAATTAATTAGTATCTTGTTAAGTTAAAAATATTTATACATTAATTAAGGGTAATTTTTTAAGAATGAACATTTTTTTTATAGAAAAATACAAGTAAAAATGTAAACGAATGGAAGGCTTTTGTTATCTAAAATATGTTGGTGGCAACAAGTTTTGTGAGAGATGTTATTTATTTTTAGTGACTTAACTATCCAAAATTTCAGTGATGGGATGGTCCCTTAGACATGATTTAAAGCATAAAGATAAAACACAAATTATGAAAGATTATATAGGATATAAAGTGAATATCTTGAGAAGGGAAAGGAAAAAATATGTGAGAATGAAAGTTAAAGATGAAAAATGTGAGAAGGGATCTCGATCCTTTGATCACCTTTAATCTCAAACTCACCCATGAATTGTGCTTGATATGGTGATTGATCCGGTGCATCTCATCTCGATGCCTCATTCTAAAATGCATCCAAGGGTGAAGATCTATTCTTATGCTTCTCACCTTAACTCTCCTTCTCACTGCAACCCAACTCAATGGCTACATAACATTCAAGTGCAGATCATAAAATTCGAACTTGAAAGTATTTGGACCCTTGATCACCTTTTATCTCAAACCCAACCGTGAATTGTACTTGATACGAGGATTGATCCATTGTATTTCGTTGCATCTCATCCTAATGTACATTCAAGGGTGGAGACTTTTTCTTACACTTTTTACCTTAACTCTCCTTCTCACCTGAACCCAATCCAATAACTACGTAACATTTAATTACGGATCACAGAATTTTTTGATTGAAAGCATGTTCAACATGGATGATGCAACAAAAGGTGGAGCATCTCATGCCTATAAAAGGAGTCCAAACGCTTTGACTTCAAAACATTTAAAATACGGGCCATCTACCAAATGGTTATCATGTTTACCAAACATCACTAATTTTATTGAGGAAGTGAACATGACAATAATTGAAAATCTTACCTGACAAGTAAGAGAGTTTATGCTTGTCATACAAGAAATATTTACCAACAATCTCTTTTGATAACCAAGAATGTTTACCTTATCACTTACGTTGTGTGGTACTTTTGGAGTTAAACAATGACTCCGTTCATCCAACCATCCACATAAACGAAGAGAAACGCCCATTCTCCACATGAATCCTTTTTATTTATAATCGTGTGTCTGAATCAGTATATGCGTAGTCAACTAATCTTATAAGGGTCAATTTTTGGTTTCAAGGATTGTTTTTGAGGGATTTGAATTTTATAGAGGGATGTAGATTTGGATTGGAATAGATTTGGAATCCTTTTATGTGTTTGATTTATATGATTCGAAATAGATTTGGATTCCATTTTTTTATGTTTGTTTTATAGGATTTAGATTTAGATTTTCTTTTTATAATTATTTGTTTGCTTATAAAGAATTTGTTTTTATTGGTAAATTACCTTTTCATTGTTAGTTTTCAGAAAACTGTATATTTAACTACCGACGGATGGGGATGTCCACAGGTAATTCATCGGAAAAATGTTCATTAAAAAAACAAAAATGTATTACCAGCAGACACCCCCTTCCCCCGGTGATACCCAAATCATGTTTTTTTAATAATGAAAATAGTTTTTGGTATTACCATCGAATGGGGTGTTTGTCAGTAATGCCAAAATCATGTTTTTTTTAAATTAAAAAAGAAATAATTAACTTTGATTGATTAAAATTATCGACGGATTGCGGGAGAATTTTAATTGAAAAATAATTAATTAAGTTCTGCCAGTAATCCTTCGGTAATTTTAGTTAATTAAGATTAATTACTTTTTATTAAATAAATAAATGTCTATCCACCAAAAAAAATATTCTTCTAAATAATTAGTGACTGATTGGGGATAGAAGTCAACGAAAAATTGACTTTTTCATATCCGTCATTGATCCGCCGGTAATCTAACGGCAAAAAAAATCCGCTCAAAAAAGTCATTTTAGTAGAGCTAGAAATCTCTATGTTAAAAAAACGATGTACTATTTATGAAATCTGCCCACATTGAGATTTGAAACACAACCCTCTCCTATGGATTTCCAAATCCATCAAATAAGGGATTCCAAATCTGGACAATCCTACAAGCCAAACATGTGATTGAAATAGAATGGAATGGAATGGATTTGAAATCCAAATCCCTCAAAATCTATTCCATTCCTGCAAACCGACAAACCTTGAGAGGATTTAAACTCATTAACCTTTAGAAAGCAATCACAACACCTTGCCTATCGATATTACACGAATCTTTATTTGGTTTGATGGAATATTTTGAAGTTTAAAGGAGTTGGAATATAATTGAATTCCATTCTGTATACAGATAAAAACTACCTTCTATTAATTGATCATTACAAAATTTCTCCGTAAAATATTATTGAAATACTGAGATCTCAATTCCAAAGACTTTTCTTTAAACCAAATGCAGAATTGGAATGAATCCAATTCTAAATTTCAATCTCGCAAACCTGGTTTGGTTTGCATTTAAACCAAAAATCTCACCACATCAGGGCTTTCGAAGAACCGACTATCAAAAGACATACGTTTACACGTACTCACTCCCAATCAAATACCGGAGTAAATACACGTTAAAAATCCGAGCATCATCCACAAAGGTTAAAATGGCTTTATTTTAACATGCCAACATAACTAAATAAATAAAAACCTCCAATCACAAAGATTTTGTCAACGGGAACATACCGAGAGTTTGTATGCATCAAGATGATGTCGACATATACACAGATACAAGCATGGAAAACCAAACAAATCACAACCCTTTAGTTACATAAAGGATGGTCGTGGATCTTTAAACTCGGTGCACCTCTTCTCTCGGTTTGTTTCTCGTTGCTGCATCTATGCCTTGGTTTACACGTTCCCATGCGACCCGTGAACTTCAACCTCCGCCTGGTTGTCCAATGGCATGTATTGTGCCATGATAGCCCGGATCTCAGAATCCATGTACGTCTGCACAATAAATTTGTAACCATCCATGTCATCAAATAATACAAGTTGAGCAGGTTAACAGTCAAGATGGGTACAAAATAAGAATACGAAACTTTGTAACATCGATTTAAGGAAAAAGAAATTATCGGTTTTTCCAATGTGAGATGAAAATATACATGTTTTTAGCTTGTATCGATTTATATATGTTGTTCTATTTGTAAGATTTATGATATCAATATGAAGTTCCATATTTTGTTTTATTTATTACTTTTTGAGTCGATGTATATATAGTTTTGGTATACGTGTAACAGGGCCTAAAAAAAGATTGGAAAGCCTCTGGACCTATAGTTCGTTTGGATTGGACGGATGTTATATGTTGCGTGTTTGTGAATATAGAACCTAAGATGTTGGTCAATCCTTTTAAGATCCAATGAACTCGGGATATCAATCATACAAGTGGAAAAAAGTGACATAAAACGTAAAAAAGATGTTGAATTCAGATGATCGTTGCTTACTCGGATCCTGTACTTGTAGAATGCATATCCTGCAGCACCCGCAACTGCCAAACCAAGAATAATGACCCACACAAATCCCCAGCTAACTTGAGATTTACCGTCTTTACCTATTTACAAACAGAAACAATATACTTATAAATTCCAAGATTGGACGTACTAAATCGAACCACATAATATAATACGTAACCCTTTGTTGATTATGAAAATATGTAATGGGTAAACTCACTTATACATGTGTCATGTTCTCTCATGTAGAGCAAATTGCCACCGCAGCTACACTCATAACTACCCCATGTATTCTTGCATTTGCACTGGGGACACTGGCATGCCGTCTTCTCTTTGCATTCATCAATATCTGAAATATATATATATATATATATATACACACACACATATATATCAGCACAACAAACACAACACTTGATTTAGCGGAATAAAAGAATATGGGAATAAAACAAGACCTTCACAACTGTTAACCCCGTCTCCTTTGAAACCCGGTGGACACTTGCAACCTTTTGTATGGTCATCCTGAAAATTAAGTTAAATCATAGGTTATTACAGAAAGAAAAAAAAGAGATCGTTCATGTGTGTATAAACCAAAACCAAAAGAACCCATACAACAGAGTAGGTCTCATGTACCCTGACTGAGTGAAGACCTCTGGCTTGTAAAATATGCATGTGTATAGATGAATGCATATATGGGTATCTATATGTATGCATCACCATAACTATCTTGTGTATAAATAGGGGTGTGTCTGTGTGTATATATGACCAATAATAAAAAACAAACTCTAAATGTAACAAACCCGTGAAAACCAATCCAACCCATTCAACGAGTTTCAGAGTGTGCACGTGCTTATATAAATATTTTTGTGTTCTTTCCACAAGCAAAACCGTCCTGAATGTTTCATATATATGAAACAACACATGAAAGCCGGTTTCTAAGTGTCAACATTTATTGGGTTTGTATTTGATTTGCTTACTCTATATATACACATATACACAGAGAGAGAGAGAGTACTAACAATACAAGCAGAGTAGGTCCTGCCCAGCTGGGTGCTTTTCCAACAGCCTCCATTGTTAACTTCACAACGCAGTGCTCCTGAAGCTGCAAAATAAGGAATGATAAACCATCAATTTTTGTCAAAGTAAATAAAATTTATATACGGCAAATGAACTAAAAAAACCCTCCTCAGCTTTGGTGAGGTTGAACCCTATAGACCCTTGGGAGACTGGCTCTACCGGTAGCCGCTAGGCTAAAGCCCCTTTTGGTATCAATGTTTGTTCATATGGCAAAATTCTAGACACAACCCAGTTTCAAGCAAGCTCAACCCATAGACATTGCTGAACTACATTTCACATATGTTTCTAATAGAAAACTCATTTAACCAAATGACACTTTGTTATATGGCGCATATGTTTGGCACTTGAACAAAATGGTGCTTATTCATCGGTGATTCTGTCCAAGGCATTTGAACAACTACCTTTAAAATGTACAAATAGAAGCAGTTTGATTTTATTTTTCATATACTTCTTTCAAAACAGAAAGTGTCATGTGCCATAACTGGTTAGGAACAGGAAATGCTAGCACTAAGGATGAATTAGGGAATTGAAGGCCTGGGGATTGGTCCTTTTCTGCATTTCTAAGAGCTAAACCCAAATGGATTCAAATAGAAAGTCGTCGAATTTAGTAATATCTTTTCAAAGAACAAAAAAAGAATACCTTCACAGTGTTTATAACCATCACCAACAAACTTTACACCCTGCACAATGGGGCATTCACATACTCTTCCTCTGAAAGTATCCTATACCAACCAAGATAGATTCTAGTCAGATAAACAAGCTAATTAAAAAAAAACGAACATAAAAATGGAGGTTAAGCGGGCGTGAAATAGTACCCTGCATGCGGTAATATTAGCAGCTTTGTCCATCCAGCAACCACCATTGTTGTCTAAACACTCATTTGTTTCTATTTCTGGAAAGAACGTAAAATGACAGTACAATAAATACAGAATGCACCACAATACCAATGAACACCCTCCTAGCATCAACATATAATTACATCATTTTGACATATTTTCAGCCTGATCATTCGTTTAATGAGAAATTGAGAACGAAAACCAGTAAGTCCTCATAAACTTTTAGTTAAAGCACAGAGACGTAGGCCTAGAGTTAAAACGAGTAATAACATACAAAAATAAGCTACGGGTACTAACCATCGCTTAAACAAAGGGCGGGCTCGGTGGTCTCCTCGAATCCTGAGCAAATGGCCTTCAGAACTGCTTGTTTGCCAAGCTTACCTGAAACAATCCAAATTTATTTTTAGAAAAAAGAGCTATAAGAAACCAAAACAAACCTGCCCAGATTTCCCACCCGGAGATGGGTTCCGCCCCTTGCCTGAGGGGAGGAATGTACACAGGTGAACTCTACCCCAAAGGGTAGAGCGGGTCATTTTATCCATCCATCTCCCTACACAAATGATACTTTACGTTGTAGACTACGCACCCCTATATTGTCTGTTGTTTATCACAAGAGTCGGCAGAATTGTCACATCCCCACGTGAACCTTTGCCTATCTGCAGGATTACAAGATCGCCATCAATTACAAGATCGCCATCAGATGTTGAAATAACAAGGCCAACCTCAATATATTGCTTTCAATGACTCAAAATTTTGTTACAATCCGTTATCCAAACATACCTGTGCTTCTTGCTCAGCCTTGAGGACTGGGTTATCCACATTTGCTTCTGTATCACCCACACATTCATCTATTTTCTTCAGATCGACTCCTGAGAATCATAACACAAGATAAGCAAATGTAAGGCTCAAATATGCACAAATGAGAACTATAAGAGAAGTGAATACTGACTTCATAATATCAATCTTCACGCATAAAGTTCGGTAACTCGGAGAATTGGCATAATCTTTGTGAATGGAAAATACAAGGTTTAACATAGTTGGCAAATTTTTTGAGTGTTGAAATTTCTTAAAACTACTTTCTTCTAATGTTAGTTAGCATCTTTGTAATTTGTGATCTTTGCAAATATTATTGGAGTGATCGAGTGCTTGAATATTGGCACTTGACTTCTCTATACAAACTAATAATCATTCTTGTGAATATGCCAAAAACCCTTTAGTTTGCAAGAATTAATAGTTCTAGTTAAATTGTAGAATGATCGACTTGGCACTTCGTCCAAAATACTCATTCTTACAAAGTGAATTGCTTTTTTGGCATTTTCATGCACGAACTATGGGTTGTTTGCAATTGAAGTCACACACCATAGTTCAAAAAGTCAACTGTCGATATCAGTAACATGAAGTCACACACCATAGTTCAAAAAGTAAGCTGTTGATATCAATAACATCAGTCATAACATAAACAACAACTATATAGTATGCACAAGTGAATTCAAACCCACCAAACTGTCATAAGCTCACAAATATATGTTCAACTCACCAAGCGACTTGACAACTTCATCTGCACACTCTTTGGTGTACTTCTTGTCTTTCATTGGACATCGGATAGAAAAGTCCGTCACATAATCCCACCAAAGCCAAGGCTTTCCAGTCTCATTTGCCACTTTGTAGAAGCAAGCCTGTCGTAAATTTTGGACAACAACGTCCTTCCCATCATACCCTTTACTAAAATCTTGCTCGGGATCAGGAGCACAATATCTTCCATGGTTAATACATTGGGATTTGCATTGTTTGCTCAAAGTGAAAGCCTCTGGGCAATACCAAGTAATATAATGTGGTGTGAACTGAGTGTAACCTTTTCGTTCAAGTATCTGAGCGGCGCCTTTAAAGTTCTTGACGAATTCTATTTGGCTATCACACTTGGATCCACACTCATCATTGCTATTTGTCCAAAATTCATACTCTACACGCTCATCAGGGTGAGGGAGAGCTTCTGTCCAATCAAGTTTTATATTTACCATATCGCCGTTGGTTAAAGCTTTCTTTATTGAATCCCCAAGTGACATGCTGATGAGTGCTGAAGGAATGGATATGTTTTGCAAGTAATCAACATGTGCGTTTTCCTCTTCAGGCATATCCATGGTGATCAAAGGTTCAGGTCTGTCATCTGCAACAAGAATGGCTGCAGCTCCAGCCTTCTGTGCGTTCCATGCCTTTAGTGTAAAGTAACATTCTGCCAATATTAACAAATCAGTATGGTATGACATATGACTTCCTTTAGAATCCATATCACTTATACAAGGAGTTATGGACTTTTAGAACAAGAATTTTAAAAAGCACTACAATTGGCAAAATAAGCATTTTTCTGATAACAAAAATACCAACTATGATGATTGTTTTTGCATTTATACTTGCACAATTTGTCAAAAAATCGTTCATTCTAGCGAACTATTGTAGGACGGTTTAAACCCACGATTACTCCTCAAGTAAGGAGCATTAACTCATTAAGTATCATCAAATTCTTACAGTTTCAAGTTCATGGCAGACATGATAACATTTATCTATGACTTGATAGACAAAACCAATCGAAACGTATTTCAAAGGAACAAAAAAGGCACAAAATTGACTCTGAATAAGAATCAAGATTCGTTAGGCTTCAGAAGAACATACTGGATTGATACAACAAAACTTATTGGGCAAATTTGGGGCCAATTTCTTTTTACGTTTTTTTTTATCATTCATAGATTTGTCCGAAAAAGGTATCCCTTCAAGCAAGAAACCTCTTGATACCAAGACAAAAAAGAAGCAGCTATATCTGATAGGAGCATAAGTCAATACATACAAATTGAGACTTAGAATTAATAAGAATTCACACTAAAAACAAATTAACCATCTAACATCATACAACTGGAAAAGAACGAAACCCAATAGAGAAAAAAAATTATTACCGCCACGATCAAGAAGAACAAAAAGGGGAAGGCCACCAGCAACTTCGGATTTCAGAGAAGAATCAAAGGTTTGGCATGCTTTTTGATTGGTCTTTGGATAACGAACAAAACCAGTTAATGTTCCTCCATACTGAGGAACACCAAAATTACCGATTGCACATTCGTATGTATTTTTTAAGCTATCAGGTGAAGTCACCCTCAAGCTGTTCTTCTCAACCACGAATCTACCCAAGCTGGATCCATACATAAACAAAAACCAAACACAAACTATAAACCCTAACTTCCCCTCTTTCATGGTGGTTCACTTTCTCTTTAATCAAAGTTGACCAAGAAAAACGACCCAGATCAGAGAATCAAATCCAAGGGTTTTTTGAGTAATTAGAACCTAACCGTGATGAGATTCCGCACTATCCTTCAATCAAATTGACCAAAAGAAATCGACCCAGATGAGAGAATCGAATCCAAGGGCCTAAAACTCAAAAGATCCAATATTTAAATAACAATTTGAACAGAAAATCGCATGGGCTCAGCTGAATTTAGTTACAGGGTGAAAGAAAAAGGTGGGAATGAAGGAGAGAAGGCAGAGGAATTTGCAAGTGCGTACGTGTAATATTCGATGATACCTACAACCTCTAAGCAGTCTTCTCAACAAGTGTTGGATATAGAAAATTCTACAGAAATAGATGTAAAAAGTTCGCACAGAGAGAGAGAGAGAGAGAGAGAGAGAGAGAGAAGGAAGTATTCTGGAAGGATAGAGATCTAAACTAACACTTGATCAAGTCTTTGTTCAATTAATTAACCTGCACGTAAATTTACCTCCAAGGTTTGAAGATGACGGTTTATCAATGGTTTTAGCTTTTTCAAAACTTGCAAACTCTTATCCCAATTAAAATTTTAAATATATTTTACAATTTTATAGAATATTTTTTTTTATTTGAATATGTATATCAATTAATTAAAAATTAGTTTTACAATATTTAAATGTAGTAATAAAGTTGTATAATAGAGTTAAAACATTAATATCGTGATTGAAATTTCAAAATCCGGCTAAAAAAAATTAAAAAGTAAATAAATATCAATATAAATAAAACACTTGTTTTTTTATACAATTTATTTGATCAAAAATTAAATGCATTTAAGATTGTTTAGATTTATTTAAAAAATGGATGTATATTTATGGGTTTCCAAAATATGTTCCGTCCTTGCGGAAAGGGTATGAGTTTCCAAAATGTTGCAAGTTTTCATTTTTATTGTTACAGAATAAATAAATAAATAAATAAATAAATAAATAAAAGTATTATAAAAAGTTATGATATGTATTTAATATTTTAATACTTGTATTTTTAAAAAATTAAGAGTTTTATAGTTAGGTAAAACAAAATGGTTTATAATATAATGTAGATCTACCTAAAAGTCCTAAAATTAATTTTTTAAACATTATGTACTACTTAGTAATGTATTTGTGCAATACAGCGAGATACATCGTGATTTTAATATTTCATTTTATTCTTTATCTCAGTCGATGTTATAATATGGTTTTATGTGATTTTGAGAAAGCGATGATGTTTTATTTTTGAATAAAATATATGTTTGAAGATATCATAAAAATTTGACAAAAATATATCGATATTAGTATCAAATTAAC